TGCATCAACATCTTGCTAGTAGTGATTAAGTATGAATGCTAACAGGTGGTGCATCAACATCTTGCTAGTAGTGATTAAGTATGAATGCTAACAAGTGGCGCATCAACCAACATCTTGCTAGTATTGATTATTATGCTTGGACGTTTACTAGTAGAACGTCCACAACTAGCTAGAGCTGAATAAGCTTGAATAATTACTAGTATTGAATCAACAACTTGCTAATATTGATTAAGTATGAATGCTGACGTGTGGCGAATCAACATCTTGCTAGTAATTATTAAGTATGAATGCAAACAAGTGGCGCATCAACCAACATCTTGCTAGTATTGATTAAGTATGAATGCTGACGTGTGGCGAATCAACATCTTGCTAGTAATTATTAAGTATGAATGCAAACAAGTGGCGCATCAACCAACATCTTGCTAGTATTGATTAAGTATGAATGCTAACAAGTGGCACATCAATAACTAGCTAGTGTTGATTAAGTGTAAATGCTAACAAGTAGCACATCTGCATCTTAGCAGTTTAATAGTCAAGTAGCTTTGTGTAAATTAGATTTGTGTACCTATACCAGTTTAGTGTTTATTATTTAGTCTTAGTGTAAACTAGATATTGTATCTTTACTAGTTTAGTGCTTATTATTTAGGCTTAGTGTAAACCAGATTTGTGTAGCCATATCAGGTTATGGTTTATTATTAGGCAGTTAACGTTGGCCTTAAATCGTAACAGGTTTAGTATAATAGTTTTTACTTACAAGCCTATTGGTTGAACAATACGCTAGTTTTACTATATAAAAAGTTTTTTTTTTAAACTAATCTCCTTTAATTAATAGGTTAAGTGCCACCGCTTTCTACTGTAAACCCTATATAATGTAGACAGTCTGGACAGGTTTGTCAAATTAGGTTAAATCTAAATCATTAAAATTATTACTTAAACTAGCTATTTTATAAACGAGTAGATAAGAAAATAATAGTGAAATTTAATCATAAAATTATATTTAGTTTCTATTAATCAAAAGTCTTGGAAATCTAAAAGTAGTAATATAAATGTTAAACATTCTTTTACGATGAGTTTAGTCAGTGTATTTAACAGATTAATCCTGTTTCATGGACTTCTGATGTGATTTGGTGTTGAGATAATGTTTCGAGTTCTTGATAAATCTGCTCTGATGATTTATGTTTCCAACATGTGTCGTTGAGTGTGATGTAATGCTAATAGTACCTAGACAACATATAGTGTTTTCCTGTTAAGTTTATAATCTCATGAAAATGCGTAGCTTATGCTTTTACGTATACAGAAGATCCGTATTAATTTCACGATTTTTAAAAAAGTTTTCAATGTCCAAGTCTAAGGAGTCCGTAATATAAGGTTAAAAGACAAAATACAGAGTTTTTTTCACGCTTAGCTAGTTATCTTCTCAAAGATGACTTTTAAGTGTCTTAAACTATTCTGTTCACTTATCTAACTATTCGTTATTTTATCTGTGAGTAATACGTGTGATTCGTCCACTTAATGCATGCACCCATTTTAATAAGTTAGCATACAAATACTGTTTGGCAATACTATCATTATAGTTTCACTGGACTGAGGTATAATAGTGAGCGTTAATTTCACTGGACTAAGGTATAACAGTGAGCGTTAATTTCACTGGACTGAGGTATAACAGTGAGCGTTAATTTCACTGGACTGAGGTATAAGAATGACCGTTAATTTCACTGGACTGAGGCTTAAGAGTGACCGTTAATTTCACTGGACTGAGGCTTAAAGAGTGACCGTTAATTTCACTAGACTGAGATATAACAGTGACCGTTAATTTCACTAGACTGAGGTATAACAGTGAGCGTTAATTTCAATAGAATGTGATATAAGAATGACGTTAATTTCACTGGACTGATGTATAACAGTGAGCGTTAATTTCAATAGACTGTGGTATAAGAATGACGTTAATTTCACTGGACTGAGATATAACAGTAACTGTTAATTTCACTGGACTGAGGTATAACAGTAACCGTTAATTTCACTGGACTGAGGTATAACAGTGAGCGTTAATTTCAATAGAATGTGGTATAAGAATGACGTTAATTTCACTGGACTGATGTATAACTGTGAGCGTTAATTTCACTAGAAATGCCAATATGGCTAATGTTCTTCTGGGAAGTCCAAACCGAAAGTGTGTTCATTCTGTCATGTCGAATAAGGTAACGTAGCATTATGAACAACTGAGACTTACGTTTTCTGTACCAGAGTATCTTCAACAGTTTGATATATATAAATATACTGATAACTTGCAAATAACCTGAAAATTTATTTGCAAAATGTTTAAATCACTAAATGTGTTTTTGGCACGTAACTGATGAATCGGTTTTAAGTAAAATAGTGAGTGGGTGTCTTTAATTAAAACAAAATGTTACCTACGAATATTCGTTTTTAGTTTATAAGCATCTGTCGTTTAATCTATATAAACAAAATGTTTAAACAATTTTCAACTATTTTCAAAATTTAAACGAAAGGCCTGATTGTGTAATGACGTTTTTGAGCTTCATACACACACTGAATATTTGTATACCTACCTTAGAAAAAACAGGATTTTTCCGTAGGGTGGAGAAAGGTGTAGCGGACCAGCTCACATCGGCTCCTAAAGCTCGTATAGCTGTCGTCCATCCTGACAACCCAAGAAGAAGAAGCAGAAAAACCAGCCTATTCTCCATTCCTAGATTTCCCTATTGTCGTTAGTGATGAACACACTCAGTCGAAGACGTCGCAGTCTGTTTCTGATGTAAAGTAAATTGATTGCCTTGGACCAGAGCTTGAAACCTGCGTTTTATAGCTTACTTATCGCCTTATATATAATTTCCTAGTTTATAAATAACATGTGTAGGGGCATGCGCAAAATAGGTTTTCGTTAGATGCTGACAATAGCCAATCAGAGGTTTTTATTTTGGTAAGTTTGCAGGAAATTGCACACAGCAATGGTAGTGCGTGGGTTGGTCTTACATATCTGTTGAGATATATGGTTTGGAAAACAGGATTCCAGATAAACCCTTTTAGTCCTTTGTGCCAATATATTTCTACGAAATTATTGGATGCATATAACTTCGTACTTAGATATAATTTCTTTGTGCAACGAATATCTTATTATAAGCGCCCCCTTCAGAATGGTAGGATTAATATATATTTACGTGGGAGTCATAATGTACTTGTTATTAATTAAGATGTAACCTTATTCATATATATAACATTCTTATAGAAGTTTATAGTGTGATAATTATGCATAAACACACGAAGCAGCACATGATCACGAAGTGAAAACTAATAATAATTTGCCCCCTAGTGGCACAGCGGTATGTCTGCGGACTTACAACGCTAGAAATCGGGTTTCGATACGAGTGGTGGGCAGAGCACAGATAGCCCTTGAGTAGCTTTGTGCATAATTAAAAAACAAACAAACAATAATAATTATTTGTCAAGAATATTTCTTTTTGCTACACTTTTGATGCAAGTGTGTTAATATCACTACGTAAACAACGATTTTTTTGTCTCTGGCTGTCGTTGTTATTATATTATAGTTTCCTTTATAAGGAGTTTAATAACTACAGTGTACTGGAATTTGTCTTAGAAACAGTGAAATATCTCCAACGATTTTAATATTGATATTGAAAACTAAAATATACAAAATGGTAAATCAAAGATTAAAAGCACTAGAGGGAGGTCGTTCAGGCCCTAAACGTTGTGAACATAAAAACACCTATTTGACACTTACCATTTTTTTGTGGTATAAATTTTGTTCCTTTTTTGTTCAAGTTTTAATCGTACCACAGAGTTGTTTGTCTGACTGTAAGATGTATATTGTTGAGCTTTTTCCATTTCACGCTAGTCTTCTAACGCGCGATGTTACATGTATTAAGATATTAATTGCAACAATATACTTATTTTAAACAAAAAGCGCACATTCACTTGGAGTAACTTTGTCTTTGGGTTAAAAATAAAAATAAATAAAAAATTGTGGAAAAAAAATTTGCCTGGTTTATATTTGTGGACAAAATCTAGGAATGTGTGATTGCTTTAAGAAAAAAGATGAAACTACAAAAAAAGAAAAACGTCGACGTAGGAACTGTGGGTTGATTAATTTGGGAAGAAGGGAGTTTGTATTGCTGTTGTTGCAACAAACAATCTGCAAAGGAATTTCAGTTAATAATAGTATCTTTTTAATGAGAATTTTTCCTCTCTCTTAGTGAGAAAATGATGTGTTTTTTATGTTTTTGTCTGAAACATTTCTTCCGTGTTCTAAGGTTTGCTGAGTAATGATAACATAATTATTGAATAATTACTACAGAAAATGAAGATCGAAGCTGAATTGTTGTACTTGTGAATAATTTTTTCTTCTTACTCCAAAATATTAATATCTGACTTTTTTAAAAAACGCATATCACATTAATTAAAATAAAAAAAAACTACACATAAATTTGTTTGTTTATTTATTTGTAATTAAGCACAAAGCTACACAATGTGCTATCTGTGCTCTGCCCACCACGGGTATCGAAACCCGGATTCTAGCGTTGTAAGTCCGCAGACATACCGCTGTGCTACTGGGGGGGCTTTTACACATAAATACTCATAGGTTAAAAAAACGCAAACTTTAAATCTACCTTCTCCAAATAAAACTGGGATAAACAAAAGTATACTGTTCTAGTTATTAACCCGACAATTACCGATGGAGTCCATACACTGCTCTCCGGGTGGAACAGCGGTAAGTCTTCGGGTTTAGAAGGCTAAAATCAAGAGTTAGATTCCCCTCAGTGGACACAAAAGGCCTCCCAGTGGCACAGCGGTATGTCTGCGGATTTACAACGCTAGAAACTGGGTTTCGATACCCGTGGTGAGCAGAGCACATTACAGAAACAAGGTATGGATGAATACACAATACATACCAAAATCCCTACATAAGTAGTCAAATCTATCCAAGAATAACTTTTATCTACCATTAAATGTTGAATTCTTGTCAATTGCACGAATTCAGGTTTGAATAAAAGCATTTAAACTGAATAGTGCTTTACAGTCTTACAATGGCTAATAACCATAAACTTGTAAGATTGACTCAGTACTTACTGGCTACTTATGTAGGGAGTTGTGTATTCACCCCTACCTTGTTTCTGTACTTTTCTGCATTGCCAGCCCTACATCACACATAATTTTGCAATTTTTTAATTATTTGTACGTATAATGTGAAAACCTGAATTGCTTTAGGTTTATTCGAAATTCAGAAAATACGTTTAGAGAGAACTTTTTCACACGTATTTTGTATCTTTCAGTTCGTTATCATAGGTTATCATGAATAATGATTCATGTATAATGTGAAAACCAGAATAGCTTCAGGTTTATTTAAAACCAACGAAATACGTCTATTTGTAGCTTCTCAACAAACTATGTGCGTTGATCCAAGGTATCGTACACAGTTGTTTAGGTTCACATCTTTATGTGTGTTGATCCAAGGTATCGTACACAGTTGTTTAGGTTCACATCTTTATGTTTGTTGATCCAAGGTATCGTACCCATTTGTTTGGGTTCACATCTTTATGTGTGTTGATCCAAGGTATCGTACCCATTTGTTTGGGTTCACATCTTTATGTATGTTGATCCAAGGTATCGTACACAGTTGTTTAGGTTCACATCTTTATGTGTGTTGATCCAAGGTATCGTACCCATTTGTTTGGGTCTTCATTTTCGTATAGTAATTAAGTTTTTTTATAGTATTGGTTTGGTTTGTTTTGAATATCGCGCAAAGCTACACGAGAGATATCTGCACTAGACGTCCCGAATTTAGCAGTGAAAGACAAGAGGGAAGGCAGCTAGTCATCACCACCCACCGCCAACGCTTGGGCTACTCCATCCTATCCATCTTGATTATTATTTTGTTACTGTGGCTCTTTACAATTTTACAGTGTTTTTCACATTTCTCTTTTCAGTAATACATGTCATACCATGAAGTTCAACAAGCAGGTTACGCGTGTTTTACATCTTACAATTATATGTACGAGAACACAATATGTATATAAACACAACTGAAAAAATTCATAAAAGACAAATGTGATTCTGTTCGCAATTTTCTCTGAATTTTCTACAGTCATTTGTTTGTTTCAGCAAACCTATATCAGGTGCTATCAGGCATTAATTTTGACCTGATAAATATTTTATTAGATTCGTCTTAAACCATAGACACTGATGTGTCACATTCCACAATTTGAAGTTGATCGTTTAATTTTTTCTTGTGATTTCGTTAAAAGCTTTGTTTGTTCTGAATTTCGCGCAAAGCTACACGAGGGCTATTTGCACTAGCCGTCCCTAATTTAGCAGTGAAATACTAGAGGGAAAGCAGCTAGTCATCACCACCCACCACCAACTCTTGGGCTACTCTTTTATCAACGAATAGTGGGATTAACCATCACATTATACAGTCCCTACGGCTGAAAGGGCTAGCAGTTTGCAATTGAAGAGCTCTAACCACCTGGTCGTGCTGAGCCCTTTATGATATTGTCTACCTATCTATCACATTACTAATTCCATTACTTTTATAGTTTATGTTATAGCTCAATCCTGTTAAGAGTACTAGTTAAAATAGTAATTTTATTCAGAATATCTGAAACTTCAGTTGCCAAAAGTATCACCATGTTAGTTTTAGTTGGTTGTATATTATTTTTGTCATAAATTCAGATTTTTTATGACTCCTGGTTTGGTTTATTGGTTAATTTGTAACTGCTGGCTTGATTTACGTGACATTTATGTGTATTTTTACTTGAAAGAAGCCCCCCCCCCTCCAAGTGGCGCAGTGGTATGTTTGCGGACTTACAACGCTAGAATCCGGGTTTCGAAAGCCGTGGTGGGCAGAGCACAGATAGCCTATTGTGTAGCTTTGTGCTTAATTACAAACAAACTTGAGAGAAAAAAATTGGTCTAAATGTTGTTTAAAAAGTATTCTTCAACAGAATACTTACTTCGTTATCAGCATCGCATATACTTTGTTCTTTAAAATAGTATTTTATAACAGTATTTTAATCTACTGTAGTGGTCATAGTAGTAAATTACGTATTCAACTACATTCAAAAGGATGTAATTATGGAGACGCATACTTACAACACTAAACATCAGTGAATTTTAATACGGATTAGGACATATCATTTACTTGTAGATGCTAAACGAATTCTTTGAAACATTCACAAGTAGCCTCGGTTTACGTAGATGATGACTTCTGTGGCGAGTGGTTTGTCTGCTGAATTTGTTAAAGTAGTCAGACCTTGTCGAGAAAAAAGTTTTTATGGCGCAATTGGGATTATATAAATGAAAAATATACGATCTAGTATACAATAGAATTAAATACAGCCAGCGCTGGGAATAGAAAGATGGAAATGATGTAATGTTGAAACGCAAGAACGAAATAAAATTCAATTGAAGTAACCTTGTTTTACGTCGTACCAACTCAACCAGCTGATCGTAGAACAGTAAATTTCTATCGAACAATCTTTTCTAGCTTTTTATTTCTCGTGACGTTCCTGAGGCCACCATATCTATATATTGAGGCCACTATTCCATATATTTAATGTTAGATCAATTTAGTTATTTTAGAAAACATTTATCATAATATTTTAATTGTGACTAAAAGATATACTGCGTATTATTCTAGACAAAATACAATGGTGACTAAAAGATGGTAGCTAAAAGATATACTGCGTATTATTCTAGACAAAATACAATGGTATGTTAACTGTATTATTTGTTTTAGAGCAAAGTCACATTGGGCTATCTGCTTTGTTCACAGCAAGAAATCAAACCCCGGACATA